GTGTCCTGGAGGGATACGCTGAATGACTAGAAATATCCCTAAACTCATCTCTCAAGAAAGTACTTGTCGACCGAATTTCAGTTTTCACGTCCTTGTTTCGCTGGAGAGAAAAGGTCCGGAAAATACACTAAACAATCTCAAAATTATACTACCTGGGGATACACCAAAAATGTAGGATTTTCCCTGATTGTTATTTCAGCCGAATTCACCGAAAACAACGAAGAAGTGGTGGCACTAACATTCTGTATTAGCATATTTGATCGATTTCACACAAAGCCAAATGAATAAAAATTACTGCGAAAATGTCAGATTTCTACAAATAATGTTTTGCAAAGCATATTTACTCGTTATTTTTGGGCCGAGCCTGCTTAAAGAAAAGTACATGATTTTTCCCTAGCTTTTAAAGCTATTGTCCAATTGCGATGGAACCTTTTCTCACTAGGAAGAAGAGAATCTGAGATATCATGATTGCGAGGGAGGTCATCTGTAATTTACTATTAATTGCCCTTTCCTGAATTTTTATTTCATTCATTTATTCAAGGGATTCAAATACATAGTGACTGGTATCTCCTATCAGCATTTCTGAAAGGATTATCCATTTCGTACAAGGGAATTCTAGCCTCTCTAAAACTGTCGATGTTCAGTATTTTCCTTCTTTGTAGTCCTGAGGTTAAGGGCGCTAAAGTCGTGCACAATTTAAATTCGAGGAAGTTTTCGTCGCTTCTCTCAAGTCTGCAAGATTAGGGTCTAACTGAAAGTACAAATTCACGAAAGTGTCTTAAATACTTATTTATATGATTCTCATCTAGTTCTGAAAATTCCAAGTTCCTTCCGTGATCGATGTGCTAGTCCCTTGAATTAGGTCTGACACTCGTTCATGATTCTCTGTAGAAATTAGGTTTTGATATTTTGGCATCCCTTTCTTTCTGTCAAAAGGTTAAATAACTTGATGTCAGCACTTTGAAACATAAAAATGGATGGTACTACATCACTGCTAGAGTACTTATTCTTAGCCTAACATACTTGAAATAATAGTGTATTTTTTTCCAATTTTCATCTTTGGCACAAACCAAAGAAGCTTACAGGTGTCATCTTCTGGTAGTTAATATTGTCTCAAAGAAGTGAATCACTTCTGCAACATACTTGAAGAAGGAATTTCGCATGAAGGCACACTGATTAGAAGCACTCGCCACAGACGCATGCAGTTTGCAGGACATTTGCCACATTTTCTCCAACGTTGGATTGCCTTTGGGGAGCGATCACGAAGTCCAAGGTGACCCACACAGTTGCAGGCATGATGAAAGTCCAGAAATCCGACATGCTTATAATTCAGGGGATGTCATTCCATGCACCCTCTCAATACATCATTCTCCCATGTGAGTATGCGGTTGTAGTGCATGGGGTCATGGGTCACTAGGAGCTAGCGGCTACAAGACGATAATGACACTTGCAATTGGAAAGAGTACTGCCAAAGAGTTGGACTCCCAATGAAACCTATGTCTACAGGCAAAGATGATAACCTACAGCTGGTCGTTTTGCCAACACTATTGCACAACACCTACTCTTGGATCCCAGGAGCAAACTTCGAATTCAAACGAATGGTAGCAGTGTGAGCTACCTTCAACACAATGCAATGCTATAAAAGAGAGGTAAATTGTACAAGGTTGATTGCATCCGAAATGATAATCGAAAGTTCATGTACGATTCACAATTGTGTCGCGAGAATTGTAAAGATTGGGGAGGGGCTGGAGTAGTTGCATTTGTTCAGGTCGTAAGAAAGATAGGGAACTGGATATAGGAGTAGTTCATATGGTGCTGAGACAATAGAATCATAATTGTAATGGTTATTAGACAGTCATTTCGGGATCGGAAGTCCACGGGTTATATACACTTTTAGATAAGGTGAACATAAGACATGACGTAATTCACGCATGTATTATTTTTCTACAAGGAAATAATTGAACTGAAACTAAAGTTAGCATTAAAAATTTGAATGGAATAGTCAATTAAACAATAACACTTCGATCCTTGGATAGTCATTGAATCAGCGTAAGGCAGTAAAAGTAAGATCGAAATGCATCCCTGATATCCCTGTAGTAACTTAACTGCGTTAGGATGGCTGGATGGCCAAGCAAGGATACAACAAGGAACTGATTGTGGTTTTGGGACTAGTATCATGCGTTATTCTCTTGCTACCTTACCCTCAAAAGTTTATCAGCGTATTCACAAGGTTTCGCAGTGGCTGTAGTTTATTCAAACCGGAAGTGGGTTGCCACTCCATCCTGAGATTGATTTGAACCCGCCGGGAGTGGAATGATGCGGAAGAGGCTTTAAGTAGATCAGAGGAAGCAGTTCCTATGCAAAGAGAGTTCAATTTAATGCGGTTTTGGATACGCCTGAAGAGCGAAATAGGAAATTGGCCCAGTGACTCTACCTTTTTGCAGCAGAGGGTGAGCGCTTAACTTTAAGTCACGGTAAATTTGAGTCCTCCAGCAGCCACCCTGCTTCTATTTCCTGAAGTATCTATCCAGTTGCTTCATATCCACGTTTATTATCTAATCTTATCGCTTTACTTAAAAATCAATTTCCCTGGCCCGCTTCCTATTAGGCTTATCGCAATATCGGGGAGTTCTTTGCTCTTAGGAAAAAACAAATTCTCAGTACTCCCACCTTTGGAACTCGACGAGGAATGCGAACAATTTAAATTTTCTATGAAGTGCCCCTTCGCCACTCGTATTCTAAAATTGGTTAAACTGGAATTCATGGAAATTTTCCTTTAATATATTGTTGCTTCTTGTCATGTGCCATAACTGCCAGCTTGAGGTTAGCAACATTAAATAAATGCATATCTTCCCTGAAAGAACCCCTGTTATTTGAAAAATATGCATAACTTAATTCGCGGATTTCGAGCGGTTTCATACTGGCGTCACGTGATTTGCAGTATGGGGAGCATTGGGTTATAATTTGCTATCGTCACCTATTGGGCCTTCAGCTGCCAAAAATGCCTCACCATGGACTGTGTCATAAGAAGACACTGGGGTGAATGCCCGATCTTGAAGAACCTGCAACTATTGCGAAATTTTTCTAGGGTATGTTTGTGTATGTGTGTTTGCGGGGAGATGTGTTTTGGAAATAGGAGTGGTAGGAAAACTCCAAACTTTTAGCCAAATGTCATTCATTGAATTTTTCCTTAATACGGTACCGTTTATGACCCGACTTCAAGAACCTAAGGAACCGCATACAAAATTCGGGGTTATCCAAGCAAAAGAAGAATGTGTGCGATTTTCCTTGAAATTTCAGTTTCTGTAAATACGACTTCATATCATACCTATAATATATGTATCAGCATGTCACAATCGTCTCTAAGAAAACGACAAGGTATTAGAATAGTTTTCTCTTGTTGGAGAGAGGGAGAGGGTGAGATTAGAAGGAAACGTGTTAATAAACCCCGAAGTTTCTCCTGATGCATGTCTTCTCACAGTACTTTCTCAGAAAAAAAATGAATCGAGTATTACTCTCCATTGAAACATGTCGATTAGAAGGTCCCACCTCCCTTTAAAATAATCTACTGCATTTCCTAGGTGAGCATGCCCATGAGTAATACAAAACAAGGTGTGCTTGTGAAGCGACGTTTTACGGTCGAGTCATGGCTTCGGACAAAAACACACGGATAAAGCACAGTGATTTGTAACGTGGTGTTTGCGCCGTAGTCGTCATGGACATCGAGAGGAAAACAAGATCGTTAGCTGATGGTTGTGAAAGAGCACAGGGACATGATATGATGTCTCCTTTAATCTCCCTCTCCGCCCAGACGAACATTACTTGTTGCGCAATTTGTTTGTACAAGGAGCCGAGGAAGAGACAGACAAGAACTTCAGACAACTCTGTTCAACAAAAATAAAACATGTCATCTGAGGAGGAAATGTAGCAGGCAGTGTGGGAATGACGCGAGATTGAGTGAATGATGGACCATACCTGCTCGTCCTTGCCTCATTTCATTGCCTCTCCCATTAATATGTTTATGTTAGACGATACTTGGATTCAGTCCAAGTCTCGAGAAAGCATTCAGATAAAGTTAAGGTGGAATTAACAACACTCGGCTGCAAAGAGCAGACAAACATCAGAGAAAACTCAGGAAAAGCATGCGTGGTTGGGTTTATCAAATGAATGCATGCTTTAGGCAAGCCATATGCATACAGTTTCAAGTAATAATTGTTGACATTTCCAAAGTAAGTTAATTTTAATATAAATAAATGGAACTTGAGTAGTGTCCGATTGAAGTGACGTTGAGGCACTCAAAAATGGAGAAATGGTAATGGTGAGCACCAGTCAGAAATTAATGCTTAAAAAACATAATGTGCTAAGTACTCATAGTGTGAAATGTCTTTTTCTTTATTTCTTTGTCTTTATTTTTCTTTATATTTACCATATATACCATACTATCCGAAAAGGTCAATGCATTTCTATTGTGTGCTTTCGAAATGAAATTGTTGAATTGAATGTCAGTCGTTTCTAGCCCACTCATGGAAATGTCTGATCACATCACTATTGAGAAGCCACGCAGGCTGAAATCGCAATGAATAACTGGTTGGAGTGAATGAAAGCAATAGACCACCCGGAAAAGTCGAGCGGACGTGGTGAGAATATGTTAATGATGGCTTTAGTGCTAGTATATCTGCTTCCTCCTCATCACGTTACAATAGTGGATGGTTAATAAAAATAGAACCTCATGGTATGTTCAACAAACTTTAGTTTCTCTCAATGAAACCACAGTCTTTAAAGTACCATGGTTTAGGTACAAGTGATGCATTTGAACCCGCCATTTCAAACAACGAATAACAGTGAATCAACAGCGACATCGTGCACTTCATGCACTAAGTGCAGAAGAACCGCGCTTAAGTGAAGACAGATCCTGAAGTCTCTGGTTCGTGCATTGCAGTCGGGTTCATCCTCGCTTCGCACAGAACCTTCGTCGTGACGTCACTAAATTCATTCAAAATTCAATCTGGCATCATGGAGCTTTTGATTCTTGGAAGGCGGAAAGAACTTCGACGTTTTCCCTCCTTCCTCTTTGATATAGTCTTGGACGCAAGGGGAAACCTTTCTCTATCGCGAATCCGACCACAGTCCTCTTTGGTCCCGACGACGTGCAGTTGGTCAGTGGATCTGCTTTTGGCCACATACATCACATAATCATCTGATGGATTCAGGTCGAACAGGATGACAATGGGGGCCTCCAGCCCCTTGAACCGTCGAACGGTCTCCACGACGACGAGGGTCCTCGGCCGATTGCCGTTTTCGCTGGTGTCGGGCATGTACAGCGTTTCCGCGTCGCACAAGATGTATCGGTCTTTCTGATTCTGTTTCAAGTGTTGCATCACCTTGTGAAACACTGCCCTGAGGGCACACTCCTACTGCTTAAAGCTAAGTCTCAAGAACAGAGACGTAAGGAGCTACTACGAGAACTGTAAGAGTTACGGAACAGCGTTTACCAGAAGAAGCCTTGGGCGGGCTATATAATGTTCCTTCCTTGAAGTCGTCATCCCCACAATTCCATTCCCGCCCGTAACTCCTTGGTGAATCCTCTCAATGAGACCATCGTATGTATGGTTTTGGTTGCGGATGTTCGCAGTGAGTTTCTTCGCTTGGGCCAGGTATTGCTTCTCCTTATCCGTCAGGGAGTCCAGACGTTTGTGCAAGAGCTGTTCTCGGTCGAAGGTGACAAAGAAACAGCCAGAACCATCCCATAATTTCTCCAGCAAGTCCAGCCATGAGAAATTTCCACCCTTGCCGATCTTGCTATATTGGCAAAGATCCATGGCCTCATCCACGAATATATGATGAAATTTTACAACCTTATTCCCTTCGCGCTTGCGCAGGGTTTTCTGCTGCATGGAACCATTCAACTGAATTTTCTCTTTGTTGTTCGTGTCCTCTGCCCTCCATTCCATGAAGGCATCGAAGGTTTTCACAGTCATGTTCAGACTCAACGGGATATTGGAATACATGGAATTTTTCATTCCCAATTTCTCCTTCGTGGCACGAAATATCTCGTGTTCCAGGTACTGAGCAAGAGGTCTGTTGAAGCAAAGAACAAGCATGGGTCTCTTCGGGTCATTGCTGCGACTCAAAGTTTCATCGACCAGAATGTTGGACGCGGACTCGGTCAAGAGCCACGTCTTCCCGGTGCCCGCCACGCCCTCCACGGCCCTCATCCACGGCTGGGACTCGCAGACGACCCATTGCATCAGGGAGCTCATATAAGGCGAGGCGAAGGCCGGTCCCGGAACGTTCAGCTTCTTCTTGCTCGGCCCGTTCCGTCGCTGCTCCGGAGTGGCGTCCGTCTGCGTGTCGGACGCCGTGTTCCTCAGGGTGTCTGAAGTCCCTGGTGCCAACCACCCAAGGCTTTTCCTGCCGAGACTGGGCCGAAAGCACCATGCTCCAACGAACCTGTAGCATGAAACAAGCATTCGCACAATGCATGCAATCGACCACAGCCAGAATTTCGGTAAATAATGTGGAAAACGGCGCGCATTGACAGTAGATTGAGGCAGATCTTATCGGATAGGCGTTTTGGCCTTGGATTTCGATTCCAAGAGAAAAAATAAACTCTTCCCACCATTTCTTGAAAGAGTCTGGACTTACACAATCTTCGGTACTGAGGATTCCCCTCTCTTTCAATTTCTGTAGGGCGTTTGGTAAAACGACGAAGGGGATGCAACCATATCCACCGATTCTTTCGAACGACTCTCCGAATTCCTTCTGATACAACTTCGAAATCTTCCTCTTTCCTCTGATCACTTGGTTGATTTTTTGCCTTATTTCATTCTTTATTTCTGGCTCCGTCAGGTCTGCATTTCTCGCGTTTCTCACTTGCAGAATCTTGACCCCGGCATACCGATGGGCGACAACCACGTCCATCTCCCCGCCGACGTCGCCGTTCCTCGCATACGCCACGACGAACATGGGCTGCTTCTCGCTCAGGGCGCATTCGTGTATCCGGCCCACCACCTCCCACCCCGCCGCGTCGCCCTCCGCCTCCCCGGCGAAGACGGGGAGGACGTGGCACCCGTCCTTCCAGTCGGGGAATTCCCCCCTCACGAAATCCCTCGCTTCCCTCAGGGGATTCTTGTGCTTGTCGCCGATGGTGTATTTCCTCAGCTCCTCCAACCGCTCGATTATGCCATCGTGCTTCATGTCCACGCCTCCATTGGAAGATTTCGCTGTGGATGCTGTTAGGGAAGCTAAAAAAAAGAGCAAGAAATTAAGTGAAATCGGTAAAGACGTGGAAGAAAGAGGGTGTGTGAAGAGTAACAGGAACATGAGGAATTTACAGACATTACTTGTTTCCATTTTTCTATTGCACAACTCTGCAACCTACAACAACTTCAGAGATCATCATAACCGTGCAACCCGGCTTTCCCAATTTGTTTTCAACCGGGAATGACCTTTTTACGCAATCATGGTGAAAACTTTCGATAGACAAAATCTTCTAAGAATTAAAACGGAAGTCGCAAAGTAAGCTACAGTTTGGCACTTACGGTATTCAGGGGAGAAAGTGGGAGTGAGCCGAGCACAGGCATCACAACCGGCACCACCTGTCCTCCCTCTGGGATACGCCGCTGCATTCCGGAAGCCTCCAGGGACGGCACGCGTGCTGCCCAGGGCCCTCGCTGGAAAGAGCTACTTTTAGAACCGCGACAATTGTATCTGCTAGGCGTGTCGTGCAGGTTGGCGAGCAAAGTGATGTCGCAGTACTAAGCTGATACTCCTCACTGGGCAGCTGGGTCGTCCCCATTGATCGTCCCCACTCTTCGATTCTCACATGGAATGGATGTCTGCCCGTTTTCAATTGGTAAATAATTGAGAATTTATTGGAGAAACTGGAGAGCAAGGAACAATGGACCCTTTAATGATCGAAAATCTCGAAAAAAAACTTTATAAATACTCCAAGTTGCCCTGCTTCAACTATCAAGTGATAAAAGAGCAATTTTGCATAAGATGTGAGGTATTTTAGCCAATTTTTTTTACCCTGTTCTTTGAAAAGCATAAATACCTTCGGAAATATCGCCGACTTTGCCAATGACTAAATAATGTTTGTCCCCTAAGGGAGAAAAGTACGCATTGCCAAATCCATGGCCAAGAAAAATTAATTAACCCTTTCAGACCTGAATGAAGGCCACCACCAGAATAATATCTTTATTTTTTCCTTTTTGAGCCTTTTCGCTATTGTAATAAAAATTTAAATACGTTACATATGGTTTTCATATTTTGTATAAATTTATCATATCATACCATATATCATATATAATATATTTAATTATATAACTGAATATTAAAAAACTGATAGATGAAAGGAAGCATCCGATGGAATTGAGCCATGCATAATTGCGCCCATTGTAGCGAGATATGGGGCGCAACGCCAGGAGAATCCCAAGAAATTACCATGGACACAATGTAAATGCAATGTCCATTAGAATGGACGCCTTCTTCAATATCTCAAAAATGGAATAAGAGGAAAAGCCTCTGAGGGGAAGGGGGATGAAGGTGGATGATAAGGACGATAAGGATGATGAGGACGAGGGAAAGGTGGGAGAGAGAGGGACGTCTCACCTGAAGGTGGAGTGCAAGCCCTGCCGCCGAGGTCACATTCAAGGAAAGACTTACGCGTCCTTGAAAGGGTTGCGGGAGTTATAATTGAGGGTTGTTTTGGTGCTAAGCAACAGAAGTCGATGAAAAACAAGGTAATAGGGTTTCATTATGGGCTGATCGATGCCGGACAGCCTTGAAAAGGGCTGAGTGGGTGCCAGAAGCCTCTCATTACCGTCTTTATTATATGATGGTTGTAAAGGCGTCGGTCGTCTTTCGCCTTATTTGCTCTACTACGTCTCACTTCTTCCCTCTCAACAATGCCGATAACTGATATGACCTTGACAGTGAGGGTACCCGCTTTTTTCTTCTTTCGGAAATGGCTCCGCATACTTGCAAGAGTACGTTTTTGAGGTGAGAATGAATGAAAGACAGGAGAATTCCCCAGATGGAGTTAGTAACCAGGTGTACGAGAAAATGACACAAAAACTTTAGAAAAGTCGATGGCAAATATTGTTGGATTTTTGGCCTGTAGATTCACTTAAGTGAAACAGAGTACTTGTGAGACATTTTTTAATTCGTCCATTTCAGAACTGAAGAACCCAACCCCTTCGGGATTTTTCGCCGCGTGCAGCAGGAGTGGATTCTAAGAGAAAAAATTCGAAGCTTCATCCGTGCAAACTCTATTGATTGAAGACGTGTTTCGTGGAAGCGCACCATCGATGCGAAGACGTGCAGTGTCACTCACAAGTTCCGCACCGGATGAATTCGAAAGTGAAGAAAATGCTGAAAGCCTGGAAAACGAGGGAGCATTGCCTTCATCAGACACAAATAATTCTCTGAATGCTCCATGATCAAAGCCGAAAAGCAAGCGAGACGAACAAGCGATGGGCCGTCTCCACGGCAATCTAAGAAACATAGATCTTTCATGCAGACGATACCAGTTCTGCCTTTAAAGCCTGGAATGGCCAAGGCGTGATATGTCATTCATATGGTTTCTCCACCCCCCCCCCCAAAAAAAAAAAAAAATCTCCTTTTTAAAAGCATTTTAAATACGGTTGGTAAGGATACACACCAGGTGGAATGCAGAGCAATTGCTTTTTTTCACATTGTTCGCGAGGGCGCATTAACAGAAAATTGGGTCGGACGAGCCCGTCGCCATTTCAACGACTAACACTACGACTAACACCGTCAACATCTCCCTGATGAACTAAATGAAGGGGGTGAGGGGAAGGGAGGGGGGAGGGGGAATTCCATCCCCCTTGCACTCGCTCGAATCACCACGACTCGATGCTACTCCAAAAGGGAACGTCCAAAATAGGCAGACGACCTTTCTGTTCTTGCCTCCACTAGGATCTTCGAAAAGTACTCTGAGGATGCATGCCAGATTGTCGAATGGTCGACACGGCATCATCTACTTCTCGATCCCAAGACGTGTCAGGAGCTTGCTTTCTCTAACGCGAGACGGGTATAAAACGCTTCAACTTCGATTCAAAAAACTGACAATGAATTACTTGGAGGTGAGACCGGTTCTCGAAGCAGGGCATTCCTGTGTTATCTTCGTCGATGAGCTCGGTGTCGGATCTCAACGAGAAAATGCACGTAAGATGCCATTCTCGGCATATTTCAAGCTCAGCTCAATGGATCTACTCGACTCCTTTCACTGCTTACCTTGTTTAAACAAATCGTGTCAGAAATCTGAGTGC